AAGTCAACAGTTAAATGGAAAGAGTCAAAATTAATTGATTCGCTTGAGTGGCCTTCCCAAAGTCCTGATCTTAATCCGATAGAACATTTGTGGGATGAATTAGAAAGGAGAATTAGGAGAGATAAAGTAAAGCCAAAAAATAAAGTAGAACTGTTCGCTGCGCTGGAGAGAGAGTGGGGTCGAATGTGATCGATAATTTGGTTAATAGCATGTCTCGAAGAGTTGAAGCTGTGTTGGATTCAAAAGGGGGTGCCACCCTATTAATTATATTATTAAAAAAGGTATTTCTTGGTGAATCAAACGATGTCAATTATATTGCTATTTATTATGCGGGTTTCTGAGTAAACTAGATTTGAAATGATGCGATTCGAATGATCGTTTTAATTATGACTAGTACAGAGGGAAGTCAGACAATTATGGTAATTAAATATGTACAAAGTATAAATAAGGCGATCGTTGTAATTATGGAGGGAAGTCAGACAATTATGGTAAATAAATATGTACACAGTATAAATAACCACTCCACTTTATCTTTTCTATTTGAGTGTTTTATTTTTAGACAACAAATAAAAAACGGTCCCTAAGCCAATGTCGTACAACTGACGAAAAAATATATATATACGATGGAAATATTAAACAAACAAAATTCGGGGCATCAAGAAAACCAAAAACATCGTTATATCCATGTTCACTGTGTAAACCTCAGAACACAGTAAAATCATATATACACATCAGAACACAGCAAATTCATATATAAATCTCAGAGCACATTATTTTCTCCGAATAACCTTGATATGATGAACGGACCAAATAACGTAATCAATAATTGTGTCGGACCTTTTACCAGCCCCTATCAATCGTTCTATCCGGAGGACTTTAGTTTTGATGATCCTCCAATTCATCAATCTCCTACTCAAGATTTTCTTCCTTCTATCTTCGATATTGTCGATGTGATTCCTATTACGATGAACCCTATGAGCTACGAAGATACCGGAGATTATACAGGCAATTATGCATCATATCAGGACAATCCCTCAGTTCCTCATTTCTACCCGGATAACGGTACCGCTGCAAATGGGCAGTTACGTTCACCGAATGTCGATCAAGCCGAAGCTCAAACAAACAGCTCTTGTCCGCTCCCAGTACCTTGTCAAACATTCTATGACTCTTCCAACCTTTATTTCGACACAACAAATGGCGGTTCCACCGATTATCATTTTGATACGATGAACGATTCGTCTAGTTCCTATATTTTTACGCAAGATCCCACAGGCACCGGATACGTTGTCACGAAAATAGAGCATACTCAATTAGTTTTAGGCACGGTGTCGGCTGCTGACTTTAACCAAATGTTAGCTACAACTCGAATGTGAGAAAGACTCGGTTTATTGTAAAAAAGACGATAATATACGTCTTTCTAGGTATAATACTGTATACGCAGCGTAGATTTAATATGTGTGCGTTCGCAGTATTATTCGATTGTAAATAAGCGGTTAGTTTTTTATACTCTGAATATTATTATTGTTTGGTTCTCTGGTAAATTACCGGTCTAGCTGGAATCACTAATCCACTATGTCAAAGAAATATAATCGCCAACTGTCCAATATAATAAAAGGGTTACGCTAAATCAGTAACAAATGAATCTATTCGAGTTTGTTTTGCTTTGCAATACTATGCAATTTCACTTTCTCTTCAATGCACGAAAGGCTTCACCACAATTGATTTCTATGTTACGCAAGATTGAATGCCGTTTTAAGTGCGACCACTGCATCTTTAGTATAAACCACTGCACTAAGTTTCAACCGTTTCCCCTTACTAATGATGGGCAAGGGGGGGGGGGGTGGATTCAAAGAACTACGGTAGTACTAGTCAATGCGTTTTCCTTCGAGTCAAAATAGGCACTGTAGTACTAGTTAATGCGTTTTCCTTTGAGAGGAGGTATTGCGTGATGCAACATAGTCGAATATAATAATATGTATTACAATGTTCACTCTCAATATATTTAATTGTCCCACCGAAAAGTCTCATATAAATGCGGGGACAGCAAATATACAAACAGAACAACGCTTTCTAACTTTTGAAATAAAGAAACTGTGAAAGCGTCAAAGTTGTCGTTTTTCTGACAAGTCAGTGTATTTACGAATCATGACTAATGCTATCAATACTATGATCTATTTCTAATAGTAAATATATGTTGGCATGTTTATAGCCGTTATCCGCGAGAGCTTAAGCAATTTGCGCAACCCGTTAACTGTATACCACGTATCTATCTTTCGTCATACAGCGGCATAGAATCTATCCTTTATTTCTTTTAGAGATAAGAGTACAAGAACGTCATTTTTGTTAGAAGAGGTAGAGCACATATTTTTATTTCGACGGGTCAGATATCTATAAGTACAAAAAACTCGGTCTCAGTCATTTACGTCTTGCACATCCGAATAACTTTGATCTAATGGACGGACCGAATAACGTGAACAGTAATTATGTCAGACCTTTTATCGGGCCCTATCAGTCATCTTACTCGGAGGACTTTAATTCTGATAACGCCAATCCTCCACTAATTCACCAATCTCATACTCAAAATTTCCTTCTGTTTCCGATAATTTTGATGCCACAAACGACAATTCGACAAATAATCATTTTCAACGTCTCGGTATTAGCATGACCAACAGTTCGTCCATCTCATATTTTCTCACGCATGAGCCCACAAACTCTGGGTATATTGTTATGAAAGTAGAGTACACCCAAGTAGGCTGGATATCAGCTGCTGATATTGACAAAATCTTAGCTCTAATTCAAACGTGAGAAATGTTAGTATTAGATGAATTACATGGGTCTCTTAATGGGGAGATTTATATTAACATAAGAAGATATCAATGTTTTTATTAAATTGACTTTTGGACAGCGAAAAGTCGGTGAATAAAGCGAGATATTTCTCTTAATTTGACGCTACATGTATTGACTGACCGCCAATAGCATTCAGCCCCTGTCAACATGTTGTGTAGTCCTTACCATTATCTGCGGTCTTCATTGTCTAAAAATTGCACGTGATTTTATTTTGCTCCCCGAGACCTCCGAACGCATTCATCCTCTACTATCGGGCAATAGCACCAATATGCCTGCCTCCTTCCTTTGCTTTTATTTCTGTAGACTCGCTAAGTGGTAACTAATCACACAAGACTGGTGCTAATAGTAACCGAGAATGCACCAGAAACGAACAGTATATCGAAGGTAAGTTGTAAGGAATGTTGGAGAAAAGCAAGACACACAAGACGATGTTGAGAAATTGTCTGATTTCAGTATCGTACATTCGATCTATTAAGCTCGTATTGTTTGCTAATAGTAAATTTACAATTCCCATATTTAAATAAACCACCTGTGCCCCAACAAAAGTCATTCACAAAGCCTGGGTCAAGTTCAAAGAAAAAGGAACTGACGAGCGTCATGATTGTGGTTTAATGCAGGAGTTTGGCAAGAGTGTTGGTGAGTGAAGAGGAAAAAATCCTGAATTGCTTCGAATGCGGGGATGAGAGTTTAGTGTGATATAGAGAACGGCATCGGGCAAATGTGAATGTGTGAAATGAGGGGGAGAGGTAAGAGAAGCACACCGAAACATTGATAGATAAGAGTTATTATAGACCTTTTACGGTTTGAGTCAGTCTGCTCATTTCACGCTATAGTTGAAACGATGAATAAGTGCTTGGGCATAAGTAGATGTATTTAAACTTACTAGTTAATGTATTTCAATAAATTAGACAGACAGTTGTAGTCAAATCGTCGAAGTAAAAGAATAAATGGAACCGTTAAAGCTGAAGAATCAAGAACCAACACAACAGGTCAATGAAACTCAGTGTTTTCCTTCACAGTCGCAATTGTCCATGGATTTACATAGCAGAGTCATGTTGCAATATGTTCCACTCAACACAAACAATATTATGTGATTCAGCGCTCGTCGATGGAATCAAAAATTCATCAACTGACCCAGCAAGTCAAACAAATGAAGAATTTCATATGTATGGTGAGTTCATGCAACGTTACAAGGGGTAACACTGAAACACTAATACAATGAAATTCAACGAAATCCAACGATAAGCGCTATTACCAATGCAAAGACATCTGATTTACAAAGAAGCTACGGGAGAACTTGGCCAGAAATGATTTTGTCGGAAAAGGGTTACTTCCTATTGCGTTCCATCGTTCCTACTGATCCGTGGATTATACAAGCAATAAACTTGTCGAGAAAATACTCTCATGTATATCCGAGCAGAGCATTTGAGTTGCAAAGATCGCAGGATCGGCTGGGCAAAACGGCCGGATTGGCTGTAAAATTCAACGATGGTTTAGGGAAGATAGATGGAGAAGATTGGTTTGGTGTATTGGGAAGTATCGAGCGAACCAAATTAATTAAATCGAAATTTGCGGCTTAGCAGAAGCACGAAGTGAGAATACGAAAAGGCTTGCAAAGGCAACTGGTAGGTAGCGATGCAATAATTTGTCCTTCGAGCATCGATACTACGATGAAACAGTTTGATCAACTATATACAGTACTTATTAATATAGACCTTAATCATCAATAATATTGTTATGAACTTATCTATTGCTATATTGTAAGCTTAATCAACTTTATCCAATGCACTCTATTTGTGTAAGAATAAAATCTGAGGTCAGACACTTACCTGACCTTCATTCCCTTGACCTTCCACAAGGTTGTCTTTATTTGTAATATTCTGTTCTTTTCGAGTGGATTTACGGCGATTATAGACAGAGTAAAAAAAGATACGTTTACTTTCCGTATTTTTCGGAAGTTGTAAATCGCAGGCTGTTTGTGCTTCTCTATCATATGTCAAATTTGCCAGGATGAACTCCATTCGCCAACGTAAACTCTTCGCTTGCCAATTGTCCATCCCACAGATTCCAAAGTCTACCAGTGGTCTTTCTGATACAGGCCGATTCTTCGATTTCATCGAAAAATAACTTTCTTTTGCTTATGGCAATGGACCTGAGTTGAGAAAATGCAAAGCAGGTGTTTCCTCTGCCACCTTCCTTTCGTAAATGTGCTAAGAACTGTCATCATTCCTCCGTGTCTTTTCCCCATTATGCAACATAATCTTTGAAGATACCATTCACTACATATGTATTCATCTTATGATCGAAATTTGCTTCGCACTTTAAGGATCGTCCAATTTGATGGTTCTATATTACCGCGATCGAAGGAACTACACTAAGTTGCTGTCGATGTTTACTACTTAGAAACGAATGTTGTCAACGTCTCATTTACAACACGACAGCATTGCAAGATGTCAAACGGTATCTATAAACTATTTTTTTTAAGATTCCGACCCTCATACAACGTTTACGAAAAATGACCCGGCGATACTAAAATCACGAGTAATCAAGTAGGCTATGGAAACAGAAACCATCTCGTTTATTGATCTTTGAATCCGAAGAGTATGTATATAACAATTGGAATGATGATTCAGCATGGGAAAAGAGACAGCGTGCGAGGGATGAGAGAGAAGAGAAACATTGATAAATGAGAGTGCGATTGAAGACTTTTTATTTGATCTGTCATATCCAAATAACACAATCGTATAAACTAAGTTACATTATTGTCATTGCATGTTATCCTGAACCGGCAACTATAGTCGTTATACAATGTTTGAAAGAATTAGAGAAAAGTGCAAGTGGGAAGTTTATTCTTAGCCCTTTTCTGTTTAGTCGTACGCCGCTAGAGTTACTGTTCTGTCTCTCACGACCTTAGTCCAAATTCTTCGATCAGACCTAGGTATAAAATCAATCAAACTTTAGAGAGAGCAAGGCGCATGTTGCCGACTGCGTTTGTCATGTTGCGTAAGTTTCCAGCATTTGCCTCATGCTATATAAATAACTAACGTAAAGCTATATACGTCCCGATCTATATTTATCCTCACAAGGAAACTTGCACTTCATGTCAGAGATACCTGAAGTCTTGAACGCCCTTAAACTCATGTGTGATATTCGGAAATCAAGACAATCCAATCACCTTCATAAAAAATATGCCTTGCATTGTATGTTAACTGATCAGTAAAACTTTAATATATAAAATTTGCAATATTATTTTATATTGTACGACAATCATGTATTCCCACAATAAAAAAAAGGAGAAAGCAACCCTTGTCGAATATAGAAGTAGAATGACCCTTCTTTAAATACCTCATTTAATTGTCCCACCCCAAATTTTTGTATAAATACCAACGCTTTTAACTTTTGAAATAAAAAAACTGTGAAAGCGTCAAAGTTGTCGTTTTTTTAATACTTTTGACAAGTGAGTATATTTATCACGATTATGAATAATGGGTATCGATGCTATGATTTATTTCTAATAGTAAATATACGTTGGCAATTTGCGCAACCCGTTAACTGTATATCTATCTTTCGTCATATAGCGGCATAGAAATCTATCCTTTTATTTCTTTTAGAGATAAGAGTACAAGAACGTCATTTTTGTTAGAAGAGGTGGAGCACATATTTTTATTTCGACGGATCAGATATATATAAGTATAAAAAACTCGGTCTCAGTCATTTACGTCTTGCACATCCGAATAACTTTGACCTAATGGACGGACCGAACAACGTGAACAGTAATTATGTCAGACCTTTTATCGGCCCCTATCAATTATCTTACCCGGAGGACTTTAGTTCTGATAACGCCAATCCTCTACTAATTCACCAATCTCAAACTCAAAATTTCCTTCCTTCTGTCTCCGATAATGTTGACGGCATGTTCATTAATATTATGGACTACGAAGATACCAGAGATTATACGGGCGATTATGCATCAATTCAAGACAATTCCTCCGTCCACCTGGGTAACGTTGACATGATGAATGGCCAGTTGCATCCGCCGAATCACGATCAAGCCGCAACTCACGCAGACAGCTCTTGCCCACTCCCAGTACCTTGTCAAACATTCGGTGATCTTCATTCCGATGTGACAAACGACAATTCGACAGATAATCATTTTCAACGTCTCGGTATTAGCATGACCAACAATTCGTCCATCTCATACTTTCTCACGCACGAGCCCACAAACTCTG